CGGTTTGCACGGTTTGTACAAATTGAGTGGTTTGCATTTGATCGCTCCCCTATAACAAAATGAAAAATTATGATTGGTTGAATGCGGTTTGCACGATTTGTACAGATTGAGTGGTTTGCATTTGATCGCTCCCCTATATATATATGTCACATTTTATCATGTTGTCAAGGTTGATATATGTATCTATTTGATTTGGGAACCCTCCTCCTTTGAACTAGCTTTTGAAAGTAAGTTCTATTTAACCCACGTTTATCACTTGCAACCAATGCATTTGCACTTTTCTTAGGAAACTTTTTTTTAATTAACGTGAATATTCAACCCGTTATGCGAGCCGATTAATCTTAGAACGACCATCTGCTTTGCAGATAACTCGAAGTCACTGCATTTGAACCTCTGTGGCCACAAGGGGATTTTTATTACTCATTGGATTTGAACTTGGGATCTCCTAGTACTTTTGACCTTTGAAGTCAAACTCAAACCAATCAGGCACCACCCTTGTGGTTAGGAAACTTTTTTTTCCTCCAAGGGTTAGGAATTTAACAAAAATCAGCTTCATTTTATTTTTTTTATTTCTGATATTGGGGTTTTGGTGGCCATGATGTCCTTGTTTACTTATGTTATGTTTGGTAGATAGTACATGACAGTAAAAAAAAACTTATTGTTTCATGTTTGATATGATATTAAACTGGGATATGTGAGTGAGACAAAAATACATTTTTTTCCAATTAAATTGGTGGAACAAAAATAAGAAAGATATGGACAAGATTAATAAATAAATAAAGTACCAATGTCAAATTAAAACCTTTCATAATCTTTTTCTGCCTACCTCATTCTCGCTTGTCTGGTCGTGTCTGTGTTGGTGATTTTATTGTCACCGGTTTCATTTGGTGTAATGGATAAATATATGAGAGCTAAAGGAGATCTTTACTTAGTTTTCTTATGCAATTTAAGAGATGTGGAAGCACACTTGTATAAGACTAGATTGATTGTGGTACGACCAAAAGGTGGGGGTAAAGGGGATCGTGCCCATTGGCGGGGGTTCCGCTGCCCGATCAGCGGGTGAGGTCGAGGGGGGACGCCCTCGCGGGGCTCGGGTAGCGCCCCCGGACCAAAATTTAGTTTCTATGAAAGAAGTGTTATGGAAAAACACATTTCCGATGTGTGTTCTCTATATTTTCGTATGAAGGATAACAACCTCGTTTGGTTCTTGACAGATGGTTAGCTCCTAACGGAGATTTTGGATCTAAATTCTTACTTTATTTTACCATAACTTTCCTTCTCACACGATTTTTTGCCAGATATATTGTTGGTTCCTTTTATTTGGTTTCTTGTGGTCACGGAAGTTCAAATGTGGTAACTCTGGACTAGTAGACTACCCATAAAGCAAAAGAT